TGCAAGGATTATTATTATTGCTTGGAGTGATAAAACTTACTTACCAGGCCCTCATCTATGACGTATATCTACAAAACTCAGCAAAGCAAACAGAAGCAGTCTGAATTATTTCACTGAATTTAATTTGGAGCAGTGCATCTCCTGAGAGGAAGTTTTTGTAAGGAAAAAGCATTATCCCAGTCAGCCATGACACCTAGCTTTCTACAATTATTGAAGAGTACATTAATGACACCTCATAAAATGCAGATTAGATGTACATGTACATGGCAAGATTTGAACTTTGTGTAATCATGTTAACTATTTGAGTGCTGAATTTAATGCCATATTATTCAACGCAAATCTTTTCACTTAAGATTTGGAATAAATATTTTTAAAAATATTTAACTCACCGCTGGAAGCTGTAGTTGAAGCAAACAACATCAATATTTTTAAGGGAAAATTTGATGCACACATGAGGGAGAAGGGAATTGAGGGGTATGGAGAGGGGAGGAGACTAGTGTGGAGTATAAACACCAGCATGGTCTAGTTGAGCTGTATGGCCTGTTTCTATGCTGTAATGTTCCATGGTGTAATGTTCCATACTTTGTAATAAATCTATGTGTGTATTTAAAAGATGACGTGAAAGGCATTATATAATGCAATTTGTTGTTGTTGTTTGCAAGAGTGCCAAAAATGTGAGGCATGTGATACTGCCTTAATTTAAGTTAGAAATTACATTTGTGTGCTCCCTTGTTAAAACTGATTGTGGTGATGGAAATAATTTCTCAATGCTTTTGAAGATTGGGTGCATTGAAGTGGTTAAAAACTTGTTATAGAGCAACAGGAGTAAACAAAATGAAATAAAAGAGGAACCATGTTGGTGTCTTATATCAAACCCTCTAGGCAATCATACTGTCACACTTAATCCTCTCTTCTGTGAGTGGTGTTGGCATGCATACTGTTACTTCTCATTTGCAGTTTTTCCCTCATGGGCAATTGCATATCACGAAGAACCTTCCTTCACAGGATTAGTTTTATTTCATTGTCCACAAGACTTAACTGTCATATTGAATGAAACAAAATTAAAATTCCACAGAAGGCATTCAGCATATAATTTCACCACATTCACTGTAATAAGTAAACATTTGCATTGTGATGAGGATGAGACTTGGGGTCTCTACAGTGAAGAAAATTCATTTTGATCAAAGCATGTATTCCACTATATTCTGCATTTTTGTTTCTTGTTAATAAAAGTATGGAATTGGATATTTTAGTCCAAATAAATAATTTATAGTGTGGAGGCTACTTAAGAAAAAATATCTTCAGTTCCATCCTGTAACTGTTTCCTATACAGTGATGGTTAGTCTATTTTATTGATCCTTCTGTTTTTGCTCCAATATCTAGAATTCTCTTCAGATATGACTGACATCGCATATGAATGCCAAAAATAAAGGATAATGATTAGAGATGTACAAGAGCAAACTTTGGTTTTGTTTAGTTTTTCTTTTATTTTGTTCTCTCCTTGCTTTATTTGATTTTCCTTCTTATGTAAAGTTTACAATTGAAATAAAACTAGTTTTATTGAGTAAGTGAGGATGAATCATAACTGAATAGTAAGTTCCTCAGAAATGTGTCTTGGCCAGTCGTGAGATATTGTAAATGATTAAGTGAAACAGCCAGATAATCTGTAAGTGGATGTCACCAGGAAGTTATAAGATAGAGTCCTAGTGGAGATATTTATCCAGTGTCATTGCTGGTGACAATATATTTTCTTTATCTTTATAGTTCTGATATTATTTGAACATAAAAATCTTTAGGTCAGGAATGGTAATTTGGCCCAAAAATCCTGTTCCTTTTTAATAGTTCTAAATCTTAGTTACCGGCTTTCACTTTATTTCCTTATTTAAAAAAGGGCAAACTTGCCCTAGATTCACTAGGTTAGTTCCTGGGATGAGGGGACTGACCTATGAGGATAGGCTGAATAAACTAGGGCTGTATTCTCTAGAGTACAGAAAAATTAGGGGAGATCTTATTGAAACATATAAGATTCTTAAAGGGCTGTATAAAGTAGACACTGAGGGTCTGTTTCCCCTGGTAGGAGAATCTATAACCAGGGGTCACAGTCTTAAAATTAAGGGTCAGCCTTTTAGAACAGAGTTGAGGAAACATTTCTTCACTCAGAGGGTAGTGAATTTATGGAATTCACTACCCCAGAAAGCTGTAGATGCTCAGTCCTTGAACATTTTCAAGGCTGAGACTGACAGATTTTTTAAAAAATAGAGGGATTAGGGGATATGGGGATAAGGCAGGTAATTAGAGCTAGGTCAGAAGATCAGCCATGATCTTATCAAATGGCGGGGTAGGCTCGAGGGGCCGAATGGCCTACTCCTGCTCCTAATTCTTATGTTCTTATGTTCTTACGTTCCCTCAATCCTTTCTCTCTTCGGACATGTTTCTAGTTGGCTTTTGGACCTATGCCAAACGGCACTTTCTGGTAAATTATTCCACAAGTCTATTATCCTTTGTTTCCCTTAGAAATGTAACATAGAAATGTGTCGGACCAAAAAAGACAATCACAATGCATCTGACCAGTCCCAATTAAAAAAAAATAGCCTGGAATACTCTATCTCTTACCCATGATTTGTGATTTCCACCAAATCCAGCTGCCTCAGGAGTTTGCGGGCAGACCCTCTCTGGAAAGTCTAGGGATCTAGGGCTCTTCAGTCTTGAGATAAGACAACTCAGAAGGGATCAACTAGGTGTATGAAATTTTAAATAGGATTGAAAAAGTAAACCCAGATCAATCATGTAACATGTATTTTGACAGTAGAACAAGAGAACATAGGTTTAGGGTGGTAAAGGAGCACTTTTAGGACACATACCAGAGAGTTTGACTCAGTGTCCAAGGCACTCTCCCCCCGCCCTTTTTTTTTTACGACAGTTCCTCTGAAGAGCTTTGAGACATTTCAAAGATAAGACGCTGTATCAAATGCAAGGATCATTTTCGTGGTATAAGTGGAAGCCGATCCAGAAGGATTGAAATATGGCCAAGGAAGATTTAGCTGCTCTTTAATTGAATTATATTTCACTTTATTAGTTATTAGCTCTCGTGAGGTCCTAACTGATTGTTGAAGTGCTGAACTTTCTCTTTGAAATTGATGTCCTATGGGCATATGTTTTAAGAGCCTTGATGCCGCATCTTTTATATCCTTCATTAATCTCGAAACAAGTACAACGCCGAGTTTGCTAACAGTTTTATTAGAATTAGCAATTTGTTAGAATAATCCCCTAAAAAAATGATTTTTTTAAAAAAAAATGTAGTCAGTCAATCCACAATTGTTTGTGGGACACTGCTGTGCACAATTGGTTTCCGCGTTTCGTCCACAAAATAGACAGTTAATTCACGTCTCGAAAGTATGATACGGTGCTATATCAAATGCATAGATTATTATTGTTAGAATTTGCTGCAGAATATTGCTTGTTATCTGATTACAGTATCACATTTGCAACCTTAGGAAATGATTTCCAACCATATAAGAAATTCAAGACTTACCTAGTTTGGCAATCAACCTGAATTGCCTCAGTTTGATGTGGGTGGATACTTTTGTATTTCTCCCTGGTCTTGTTGTGGTGCATGATCAACTGGTACGAAACATTCTGGTACATGATTAGCTGGTATGAGGTATAATGGTGAGAGTGTGCAACATATTTAAATAATCTGTCTTTTTCCACACAAAAGATTGCAGCTGAGAATGACTGCTTTTACAAAATTGTTCTTGGAATCAGGTAGAAGTAGAAGACATGTGAATTACTTATTTTGTGTTTTCAAGTTTATCTAAGCCAAGTTGTTTTATTGTTTTATGCTTATTTTTTTCCTTCATAGTTTTGTTTAGGCTAAGTGCTGGTCAGTAATCTAGGAAATTGGAAGAGTTACTGTACCATATAACGTAATAGAATTGAGTTGACAAAGCCTACATTGGAATGAAAAGACTATTTAAGCATTGGTTGGAACTATACTGATCTTTGTTACTGAGCTCACACAATTGAGCTCAGTAACCACTCCACCCAAATTCTCCTTGCTATTTCTCTTGTTATTTAAACTGATTTCCTGCCATCCCCATACCCCCCCCAAAAAAAGTTGATCCTGGACAGACCATGTATTTTGCTAAATGTTCAATGCTATCAATATAACTGTGTCGTTAAATTGCCTCGATATCCTTGATGTCCAGAAACTTTCTAAGATCTGTTGATGAGTTTCTGATCCATTTATAGACCTTAGCTTTCAACATTACCTAGATTGAATATTGTTTATTTCAATTGATTGGGTAATGCTATCTTAAATAATTCAAAAAATGCTTTATTTTGCAATACTTTTATAATTCTCCTGATTTGTGCTGTGAATTCAAAGGTCTAAGTTCTCAGATCCACATTTTTGGACAGTGCCACATATACAATGTTCAAAGAAATATTTTCACAAGTTTATTTTTAGCAGGATTTCAAAATCATTGATAAGAAATGTATGTATACATTATAACCTTACATAAATTCAGATTAATTTAAAATACTGCAAATAACTTAGTTCAGGTTTTAAATAATTTGATCTGTAATTTCCACACTTAATGAATATGCATTAGCACACTTTTATATTGATATTATCATCTTCATTATCATCCATTCATCCCTTGGCACCTCCCTACCTCCCCGACCTCCTCACGCCCCTATCCACCACCAGGCGCCTCCGTTCGACTGGCACCAGCCTCCTACTTGTCCCTTGCATCCTCCGCTTCACGACTGGAGGTCGCGCTTTCAGCCACCACGCCCCGAAACTCTGGAACACTCTCCCTCAATCGCTCCGCCTTGCCCCCCCCTCTCTCCCCTTTTTCAAGTCGCGCCTAAAAACATTCCAGCCCCCACCCCCGCCCAGAGTCTGTCAAGTGCTCGAGTTGGGGGCGATATATAAGTGTAAGTTGTTTTTTGTGTACACTGCCTTGGCTCATGTTACTGTATTATTTCTCTTTTAGAATGATGATGGTACTCCAATACATGATTTAATACCTGTAATATCACCAACCCAAGAACCATCTGAGGCCATGGATCCTGCAGAAAAGGTAGAGTTCATTTTTCTCTCAAAATATTCCAGGGGTATTAGGTCGCCACAGACTTCATTTCCTGCACCTGTGCATTATGCTTAGATAGTAGGCTAGTCAGTGCCAGAAGTGTTCTGTATTTCCTGTATAGCACAGGTGCACAGTACTCGTGAGCTAATTAAACCGGTGCTTCAAATGTGTTGCGTTATTTCACCTATATGATGTTTTAATGGCCATGAAACTTGTACTGATTCCAAATTGTCTGTTGAAGGACCTTTGCTATTTAGGTTTAGGTTAACATCTAAAATGTATACCATATAAAATATGTCACATTTAAAATTGGCAAAGAGGCCATTTTCTTTATGTACTTTTTAGTATTATTTAATCTTCCAAGACTTTTCTTTTAACCTTGGGATATGCTGAAAATGAGTTATTTCTAGTGATTTGCTCTGCAGTTATAAATTGCCAGGTGAGGGAACAGTCATTACAATGGAAATGATTGATAGCAGCTTCACAATGAATCGCATTATAAACAGTCATCACAACAAGTTCTGCTAATAGTATTGATGTTTCAATTGATGGACATGTTTATATTTTTGTATCCAAATATACATTGGTTTATATTTCTCTACATTAAAAAACATTTTCTAATAGTCGGTCTATATCATATTGAATGCTATTTATCCAACTTTTATTTATGTTTTGGTTTAATATAGCAATAAAGATTAGGGAAATTAACAATTTTATTTTAAGTTAATAACTGCAATTTTTGACTTTTTTAAATATGCTTATTGAGATTGTTTTATCTATTCAAATCAAAATAGGTTAATGAGCATATTTGAAACTGATGAAATATTATTTATAGTATTAGGGATATTGTGGTTGAATTATGGGTATTCGACCAGATTTATATTTGCAAATTTAGTTCATTAGAATTTTTTTTTTCTATGTAGCACAGGCGTTGAACATCTTAAAATGTCAAAAATTGGCTTCTTGGAAACCTCCTATTAATAATTCCAAGTGGAAGAAACTTGTGGTTTTGTATCATTTGAGGTTTCATTGAGTTTGAAATAGCTCCAACATCTCCTGATTGTGGATTTGAAATGAAGTTTCACTGCCATGCATGTTGCAACAATTACAATCATTCATATTTCAGCATGGAAAGATTCTCATATGACACACTCCATTTTCTGAAAGGGCACAGAGATCTAATCCAACCTTGTTTCCCTTAATCCTTGAGATTTGAATTCAGTTATTTATTAATTCATATACCCAACCTTTTTGATCCTCTTATGTTTCCAAAATTTGAAATTCTTTTCATGGAAAACCATGGTTCCAGACTCTGATAGTAGACTAAATATATTTAAATAGCAGTTAAGATTGGGTCAAATGCATTTTGCAACAGATATTAACCATATTCCCTGTTGCCATTTCTCATGTAACTGAGTCAGCTCATTAGACATATTATATGCACATATTACAAGTGAATTATCTATTTATGTGAATAGAACTTAGCCCATGTTAAGGTATTTTACACATGAGTTGCAAATCTTGGCTGTGCTGTTTTTTGAACAGATGGTGGTAAGGTGAATTAAATATGTTCTGCATTTGATTCCACCTTGTAAGTAGGCTATCCTAAGGTTAGCTTCCACTGAATTCTGCTGGATGTACTGTTAAATCAGCAAAATGCCATTGCCCTTCCAAGATAATTCATATGGCTACCTTTCTTAGCAATATTTGTCACAAGAAAGTCAAGGAAAAAGAGACATAGGCTTTGAGGAAGCAGTATGTTCTGTACATTGAGTATTTTGTCACAAAAATCCTGATAATTTAGCCTGTAGATATATGTGCTCAGTAACAAGAAAAACTCAGTATTGAACCTGAAGAAGAAATTAAATACTCCAGAAGTTTATCTAGTAAGACAGGGAATGTTGTCAGTAATTTAGAATCTCAGGATTAATTGTGGAGGGTCAGCCAGTCCACCAGTTATTCTGTAGTTATATTCACACAATTATAAGCTTCACTTTCAGAAATAAAAACATAAGAAAATAATGTCCCAGTTATGCTGCCTGAATTGAAGTCATATCCTGTCCACAAGTGGAGAGATACGAAGTGGGAAGTTTTTAGGGATCTGTTTTGAGCAAAGCCAAAATCTATTCATATCCACAGCATTTATATTGCAATGGTATCAATCAGTGCAACAACAAAGCTGGTCGGTCCTCAACATAGTCTCAAACGTCAGGTACTGCTACAATTTGCTTTTTCATCGTGATGTTACCTTGATTTATAATGTGCGGAAAATATCATGTTGATTTCCATGAAAAGCACATTATACTTGTTAAAAGTAAAAACACCATTTTGTCCATCCTGCTTCTTCCACAGCTCCTGCATGATGACATATCATTCCCTCCCTCCCATGCCCATCTTGTTTGGCTTGTTTGTGTTTTTATGATGCCTCGGGATCCGTTACTGTGAAGCGCTCTGAGACACCGTCCGGCGTGGAGGGTGCTATATAAATCCAAGTTGTTGTTACCTGAGCAACAGCAACTTCCATTATATAGGGCCTTTCATGCAAAATAATATTATTATTATTAAAATAACATCTCGGAACACGTGGAATGCCTTTTATTTAACATTTTTAAGTCTTTTGTTTCCAAACCTAATAAAACAGTTCTTCACAAAGCTGTCTTCAGGATTTAACTCTTAATAAAGATCATGGTAATGTCAATTTTATTTTGTTACTGACTTTACAGCTGAAACTGTTGATGTTGTACTTTGATACAGCTAAATTACTGTTGGCCTTTGGTACTAAATGTTGAATTAGGATTCACTACAGGTTTCCTCTTTAATTGAGCAATTTAGAAATACTAAGAAATGTCAGAATTAATTAAGTATTAAATATTCTACATGGTCAGGTGAAAGAAGACATCCTCAAAACCCCACAAGGGCGTGAATAGGAATGTAATTTTTAGCAATGTCATTGGGAAAACTGACAAAAAATTACTGACTATCGTTCATTATGTGAAATATGCAGATGTTTTTTGTTGATCCTGAAACTGCAAACATATAGGTACAGCTCCACTTCTGGTATATAATTTACACTGGATCAAGATTAATTACCATACCTGTAGTTTAATGGGGAGGCTTGTGTGAGTAAATTGTATATATTGAATGAAAAATACTACATTTCAGCACTTTGGGACGTCGTGAAAGACGCTATATAAATGTAATTTTCTATTTTGTATTGTAACAGTATTATTCGAAGCCTCACGTTAATCTTACCATAAGGATTGTTGCCTGGGTAGCGGTCTTTAACATACACAACAAGACATACATAACATGAATTAATGCTGAATAGAGATTTGATTATGCTAGATCTCTCTGCTTGCCCTTTAGATCATCACACATCATTTCTCCAGCCAAGTGTAGACACATGGCTAGGGTTGAATAAAAAACATTCCAGAAAACCATGATTATTTTTTCTCACCTCCCTCCTGAGAAATCTCTATTTCCTCTGCTTCCTACTTCACTTAACTATTCAAGATGAAAACCTTAAGAGATGCAGGTGAAAACATTGTCCTAATATTTTTGTTGCAAAATATTGTTACTATTCTGAAAGGCTTAATAGAAGTGAATACTGAGGTGAGAATAAAAATGTGTGTTAAACTTAGATTTGATTCTAGCAATAATTTATTGAAGTTTGCTTTTCAGCCTCAAGGTGAATCATTGATTATTGACTCATTAATAAAAATTAATTTAGAATTTCTGCACGTTTGTGGAAAATTTACGCAAGAAAGTTACCTTCCACCGTTGATGCTGTTCTCTGCTATTTGTGAGCAATTTGTGCTGTGTTACTAAGCACTTACCTGTGTCTTTTTGGATTATGATATCATTATGGTTATATCCTGTGCATATTGCGATAAATATGCCCAGTAAATCAACAAGAATATTGTTAGCGGTAAGATATGGATAGAGTATGAAATAATTTATATAGCACCGTTCATGTCAGAATGACATCTCATAGTGCTTTATGCAGCTGCCTTGGCACCTGAAATGGGTGGGGGAGGGCAGGAAGAAGGGGCATCAATATATACAAGGAACAGGAGGGACCCACTGAGGCACCCCATTTAATACTTCCCCTATTTTGACCTGGTACCTCTAACAACGATCCTTTGCTAACTTTTCTACAGCTAATTCCGAATCCAAGTACATCATGCCCTTGAAACCTCAGTTTATTATCCTTTTTTTTTGTCAGCCACATATGGAAACCCATCAGCAACCTTAAGAGTATCTAGTTTAGTCTTAGACATAGAAATATTGTAGAGATAGGAAATAAGGTTAGAAGGTCAAAGAGATTCAGGGAGAGAGAAACTCAGAGAGATAAAAACACAATGAGAAAAAAAGGCAATGTAAAAGAAAAAAAAGTGCCCGAACAGAGCAGAACAATAGTGATAGTAAAATTCCCGATGGTACAATTTTTTAGTTGACTATAGAGCCGATTTCTATTTTGCATGATGTCCAATTTATCTGCATATTTGTTTCCTTATCTGTAAAGGGTTCAGTTCGATTTAGGATACCAGGTCAAAATCATGAATATTTTATTTTCAGCATTCTGCATGGGTACCATTTTCCCTATTTGTTCCTTCCTGCCCCATATATTAAAGAATCCTTGAATTTATTCGAAATGGCATAATTAAGCTTTCTGTCGTATTTCTATCAGTGAAGATATTGCTTCATAAAAATTTCTTCTTTAGCGGGCCACTAGATTTTACTGAAAAACTGCATAAAGCTACTAGTGCTTTATGCAGCTGCCTGGGCACCTGAAATGGGTGGGGGAGGGCAGGAAGAAGGGGCCATAGCAGGCACAGATAATGTTCTATTTTTCTATTGCAAATAATTTGCCTTTACACTTTTTGAGTGGACTAGTTATAATAATATAATAATAATAATCCTTGCATTTGATATAGCGCTTTTCACGTCGGGAGGACGTCCCAAAGCGCTTCACAGAACACACTGTAAAG